GTAGGCTAATTAAGAATTAGATAATTAGAAAATAAAGAGACAGAGAAAAAAAATAGATAAATAAAAAAAGAAGCAGAACTAAATCAAAATAAGAAGTGAAGAAAAAAAATCTGACAAATTGAAAAAAAAAAGTAAAAAATAAAAACACAACAACAGCATAATACTAAAAACAGAGAGGAAAAAAAAATGTGAAAAAAAAGGAAGAGAGAGATATGAGAAAAAAAAGATAAAACGGCAGGTTGACTGTGATGGGAACGAGGGACAGAATAGTCTAATAAAGGGAAGGATACAGGATGAGATGAAAAGGAGGCGTGAACCAGAAAGGGCCGTCACGCAGGGCCTCCTTCGTTACAATGCCACGGCCTCCCCCCTTCCCCCCCCTTTCCCCTTCCCCCGGGCCTTCTACCCCCCTTTCTTTCTGCCCTCTCACCCTTACTCTCTGCTCCTCCGGCTTCTTGCTCCAGTTGCCTTTTCCTTCTGCTCCCTAATCTCCCTATTAATCCTCTCCTGCTGTCGGTTGATTATTATCTTCTCCCTTCTGTATTCTCCCTTCTGGCTTGCTGCCTCACCCTTATTTTTTTTTGTTCCTCCTGTTTCTTGTTACATTTCCCTCTGCTCCCTAATCTCCCTGCTTTGTCACCCTGGCCTTCTGCTCTCTGCTCACCGTCTCTGCCTGCTCTATGTTATCTACTCCCTCTCCCTTATCTTCTGCTGCCTGCTAACCCTTTCTTCTTAATCCTTGCTATCCCTGTTTTCCTTCCTTTTCGTGGTTCTGCTCACTTCTCCCTTCCTCCTCTCTCCTATCCTCCTCTCTCCTACCCCCTAATTCATTGCTCATTATTCTCATTCCCCTTCACAATTCCTCTTCCTATACCTCTCCCTCTCTTCTTCTATGCCTCTTCCCATTTCGCTTCTTTCTCCCTCCTCCTGTCGTCCATATTCTCCCTCTCGTTCCTGCCTCTTCCCTTCCTCCTCCGATTCTTCTCGCTTCTCCTTTCCTTCCCTGTCCTCGCCTTACTTCCTTTTCCCTTGTTCATAAACTCTTTTTACTCCCTCTCTCCGTTGCTCTCCCTTCCTCCCTTTCGTAACCCTTCCCTCCCTTTCCTCTTTTCTTACCAATCCAGTCTCTTCCTCCTCTTCTTTTCTTTCCTTTCTACTCTCTCCGTTTCGGTCCTCCCTCTTCCTACCCTGCCGAATTTCCTCCTCCTTCCTACCCTCTCCCTCCTTTGATTCTTCTCCTTCCCTCCCTCCGTCTTCCTACCCTCCTTACCCCCTCCTTCCCTTATTTCCCCTCCCTCCCTTCCTACCCCTATCCTTCCTCTCCCCTCCCCTCCTCCTTCCTTCCCTCCTTTCCTACCTCCTTCTTCCCTCCCTTCCCCTCCCCTCCTTCTTTTCCTTCCCTCCTTTCCTACCCCAATCCTTCCCCTCCCTCCCTCCCTCCCTCCTCCTTTCCTCCTTCCCTTCCTTCTTCCTTTCCTTTCCCTTCCCCCCTTCTCCTTCTTCCCTCCTTTCCTACCCCAATCCTTCCCTTCCCCTCTTCCTTTCCTTTCCCTCCTCTCCTCCTTCTTCCTTTCCTTTCCCTCCTCTCCTCCTTCTTCCTTTCCTTTCCCTCCTCTCCTCTTTTTCCTTCCCTCCTTTCCTACCCCAATCCTTCCCCTCCCCTCCCTCCCCCCCCTCCACTAACCACTTCCCATTTAACCCCATAACAACGCACTCACTTTGATGCGGCGGAGATGCGGTAGTTCAGAGGGGGGGGGTGAAGGGGGGTGAAGGGGAAGTCAAGAGGGAGGAGGTTGGGGGGAGGGGGGGGGGCGTTCTCGAGGGAGGTAATGTTTCCCTTTTATTGGTCTCATTTTTTTTCTACGTATTTCGTGTTAGTTTTACTATTTCTTTTTATTTCTTTACGTTCCCCCTTTCTATTATTTTTTCTTTTGAAATTTTCGTTTTCTTTTTTGTCTTTATTTTATTTCATTTTCTCTTTTCATGTTGCGTTAGTATTCTATATTTTTTCTTTTTTATATTTATTCTTAATATTAATTTACATACGGTTTAAATCTTTACTTCTAATTTTACTTTACCGACGCATGGCAAGAGATACGTGCATATGAGGAGATATGCATTGCAATTCAAAACTGTACACGTACACACACACACATAGACATATATATATTCATATATATATATATATATATATATATATATATATATATATATATATATATATATATATATATATATATATATATATATATATATATGTATATATATGTATATATACATATATATATATATATATATATATATATATATATATATATATATATATATATATATATATGTATATATATATCATGTGTATATCATTATTACTATAATTGTTATCATTATTATCATTACTAATAGTTGTTATTACTATTATTATTGTTATTATTACTATTATCATTGTTATTATCATTATTATCATTATTATTATTATTATTATCGTTATTATTATTATTAT